TGACAAACATACGCGCATCAAAGTCGAAGGTAATATTCTAAAACATAATTCTCAAAATACATGTTTAAACACTGTAATTATCAGTATTATAAATATGAGGACGTATGCAAATTGCTCAAGGCCTGTTACTTAACAGTGTTTAAATATAATAAGATTCAAAGGGAAACATAACACGTCAACCTATTGTTCAATGATGCAAAAGGTGAAGGTGTGATTAGAAACTGCCAAAACAGCAAAACAGTAAGGACTCTAATCTACAATGAGTGTTTGGGCAGCATTTATATGGCTTTAGCCCCAGCCCTTAAATCAACAAATCTGCACCCTTATGTTTTTGTGTAAATAGACCAAATGAGTCAACATAAATTAAAAGGCCTCTAAAATGCCAGCAAACATTATAACACGTCATGAGTGCTGCCTTACTTTAACCAATAGGGAATCATTATTATGGCAGATTGGTTGCTGAATTGAATGAATTGTTCGTAAGGACTCTAATCTACAATGAGTGTTTGGGCAGCATTTATATGGCTTTAGCCCCAGCCCTTAAATCAACATAAATCTGCACCCTTATGTTTTTGTGTAAATAGACCAAATGAGTCAACATAAATTAAAAGGCCTCTAAAATGCCAGCAAACATTATAACACGTCATGAGTGCTGCCTTACTTTAACCAATAGGGAATCATTATTATGGCAGATTGGTTGCTGAATTGAATGAATTGTTTGTATTCCACATTTTCTCATGGTGCCAAACAATGTGCCCATTCTTACTCGGGTGGACGGGTGTCATCTCCAAGACTGCGGTGCAAGGAGATTCGGTCACTGGCAAACTGGTTGAAGCAGTGCCTGGTCATGCCCTCCTGCTTTTCCTTCTCCTCCTCCGCAGTCATGCTGGCTTTCTGGAAGGCTGCGCCATTGGCTCCTGGTGCTTGAGGGTCCTGAGGAGGTCTCTCAATCCACGGTTTGAGATCGGCCTGAGTGTAGAAACCCGGGGGGCAGTTTCGGTCCGGGGTGGGCAGCACTCCCACCGACGGGGGCTGTGGGGCTCCGATCTGGAAGGCCAAGTTATTAACCGCCCCGCGGACAATCTCGAATACCCTCTCCTTTTTGTTAGAGAGATCTTGTAGCCAGGGGTCCTGAAGCGAGCCGCTGCCAACGTCCCTCTGGAGCACCACCAGAATGACCATAAAAAGTGTGCCACCCAGAATAGTAAGCTTCAGGGGGGAGAGACGACGTCTCAGACGCATTCTGTTGGCCAATCTCAATCACCAAACTGTGAAAACAGACCACATTGATCACTTATGAAGAAAAATTATTGTTTATTTACACAAACTCCACAACAAAGCAACCCATGCCCCACTCTTAATTAGCAAAGAAAGCCTGCACTGTGGACTCTCAAACGGATCACAGCAACAGAGCAAACAAACCTCACCTGACAACAAACACCCTCTGCACCTGATCCTTCCTTCGCCCTGCTGGATCCACGTGGCAGCAGGTGGCTCACCACACACTCCCACTACATTTAATGGGTGGCGTTGGAAGCTTTGCATAAATACACTTCAAAACTGTGACACGTCGCCTGTGATCTGACCAACTGTACAGGAGGAAAAAACTGAATCTCACCAGCTGCTTGGTACGAGTTTAATGGTCAGGACTGGCACATTTAAAGCACTACCATTCTTGCATTTCAACCTCAAGTAATTACTTTCAAAATAGATAATGTCAGGACAATGGAACTTGTGGTGTTAAATGAATCAGTAACCTCAGTGCCCATGGAACCAGTCTATTTAAAAACATCTACATCACAAATCCCAAGATGGGTAATGGCCAACAGAGACAGTCAGACCGACTTCTGCTATTTTTCTGCGTAGGTGTTCAGACTTACCCAATCATTCAAACTAAAACTGGTTCTGCTGCATTAATACAGAATCCTTTCAATGGCTATGAGCTCGAATGGACATCATTAACCACAAGTTATGAAGTAACAGCCTATATTGGTTAAGCTGCATTTTTCCTTACTGAATAATGTGAGTGTTTCGAAAATTTCGCAAACCCCAAGCACTTCCTTAAAGTTTAGTGTAAAAAATAATGCCACGCAACATAACTAAACGAAACTTATCTGAATAGATAAGGAAGTGAGTCAAGAATATAAGATGGTTAAAATATTTACAGTATGACACAAATTTTAACCTTTCCCAAACTTCTATGGGCCTTATTTTCGAATAAATTAGAATAATGAACGACAAACGAGCTTTTGTGTGTTAGAAAAGGGTAACCTATACTATTAAAAATAAAGATGAAAGCCGCTCATATCAAGAAGGAAAGGAAGATACGCCGAGGTTATTTTTGTTGACAAAAGACATGACGCGAAAAACGTCGAAACAAATAAATAACTAATTTAATTAAATCTTCAAAACTTACCTGTAATAATTTCAGTCAATCATGTGCTTCTCCCAGAGGCAGCTAGATACGCGAGACACCGTTTGTTTGAGCTGCGAGTCGATGGACGGATGTTGTTACTCTGTAACTTCGCGTTTTAGAGATATTTGGTTCAGCAAGCGCGCGATGATTTCACGCGACTAGCACCACTGGCCTCCCGGCTTCCCTTTGAACGCAACAGGTGCCATTCGTTCAAATGATTGAAAGTCGTCTGGGTCCTAAAGCCGGATCCTCCTTCTAGTGATGATGGGGATTTTGATTCATCTCAGTGATTCGGAATCAGTCGAGTGTGTTCGTGTTCACCAAAAATATTCATTCACGGATACTTTCTGAGGTTTGCTATACATCTGTAGACAGCAGGTAGCGACTTGTCTTTTTGTGAGTCTCTGAAGGATTCATCAACCGATTCGTTCAAAACAAAGAGTCGTTTTGCGTGTCCAAATCTGCTCAAATAGTTTCAGCATCAGTGTTGCCAGGGTCGCGATTTTTCCGCACAATTGGGTTTTTGGGGCTACTTTTATAATGTACCGCGGCCGTCCAAAGTGTATCTATAGACAAATAAAAATGAAAATAGATCATTTTACTAATGTGTATTATACTTGGAATATATATACCTGGCAACTTGAGAACGGAGAGGCGGATGTCACATCACAAACTAGTAGGCCTACGTGAGTTTCACCCAGAGCATTGCTTTTACACAGCAGAAATGAACACAACAGCCAGACAAAGCATGTCGCTTATAAGTCTGCATGTCTCTGTTTAAATATCATAGTTTTGTCTGCTACACAAACTCAAACATACGTGAAGCTCACAGTGATTTCTGCATTTGCGTCGCACTTTATGAACTTTATCTCCAGAGCATCTCCGAGAGAGCTTTGCACTGTATTATTTGAAAAACTTCACGACAAACCCGAAGAAATCTTAACTGAAATATATTACTGATTATGCTATAGTAAAATGAACGTCTCAAAATAATGAATGAAAGGCTAATTCTGTATTTGTAGGGAATATCATTCAACCCAAATGTTTTTCATCCGTGTTTTAATATCAAACATATAGTTTTGTCGTGCATCAGCTTATTTGACAAAAATAAAAATGCAATATTTTTGTTGTAAATTAATTATTATATATTATATTATATTTTAAAAGATATATTAAATTTGTTACGTTTTTAGACAGGAATTATCATGATAAAACACAAAATAAATTAAATGGAAAACACAGAATCTAGTGAATTTTATGGGGCCCTAAATTAAATGTTGGCTTGAAAGAATTTATGGAAAAAATACTACTACTACTACTACTACGTGTGTGTGTGTGTTTACATGCATTCTCAAAGCATTTCCTTCCATAATAATGGTAAATGAATATTCTGATAAACATTGATATGATATGGAAAAAATATTGTCATAATTATTTCTGGACATATCAAATTAAAAATAAAAGAAAGAGTCAAATAAAAAAAGAAAATACAGATTCAATAATTTCATATGTGCATACTACATATAAACAAGTCTGGCTAAGATTCAAAACATAGAATAAATCAAATCAAAATGTTTATTTTAAAGGGCAATAATGAAATAAAGCTGCTATCAGCTATGATTGGACAGGGCAAAAAAATGGGCTAGTTTTCATTCCTTTTGGGCGGGTTTTGAGTAAGCTTTGGGCATTTTTCTGAGACCTGGCAACCCTGAGCATCACAAGCATCGCGTCTCAAGTAAAAAGCAGACACGCTTCAAAGAGGAGATTCAGTGAACCTAAATGGTTCAGTCCATGGAAGTGAACGAGAATGATTCACTTGAAAGATTCATTCAAAAACAGCAATTCGCTCAACAAATGACTTAAATGTGGGATGACAGGTTTTTTCAGCCAAGTGAAAATTCTGCTAAACGTGAGATTTCAGTGTTGCTTTGCACTTGTCTAAAATTGGATGACGTTGATTACTTAATTAAGGCTCAGAAAAGGATGTGGTAAGTTAACAAACTATACCTCAACGTATATCAATTATTAACTGGGATGCAATTAAATTCAATGCCTCTTGTGTCGCGTACGTGTAACCGAATACAGATTTATTCAGACATTTGAGAAAGGCAGGCCAAGAGGAAATGGGGTCGGTACTTCTGTAGGAGAGAATCGTGATTACAAACTATCGACTGACATGACACTGCCGCTACTTGAAGAAAAGACAGCAAGCTGAGCATGAACAAAGAGAAGAGGCCATTAACACAACAATCACTAGAGCCACTCACACCCAACAATGGCCTGTCTGTCTACCTGATAGCTTCGTTTTGAGGTATTAAATTCTCTTGATGTACAGTATAAAGGTTGAAAATAAAAGGAAATCTTTTCAACGGTTTTTAACAAATGGCACGCTCCAAATTATGTAGCCTACACAATATTCGTTACTTCACATGTTCACCTATTATGTTCAATAAAATATCTAACATAAAATGAACCTAGCACAAAAACGAATCCAAAAAACAATCTTTTTAACTCATATTTAATTAATTGCTGTAATTTTTATTTAACTAATTTTAATTAATAAAAACGTCACATGTAGGTTACATGTAGCAGAGTGCCAGATTTTGCACACCATTGCTACGGTTATAAATATATGGTGAAAATCAATCGATACAATTTTATACCATATTTTTGGAAAGTGCCTAATATTTAACCTTTTTGTCCAGCTTATACTGACTGTGGCCTGTATGTCCACTTGCAATTAAAATGAGAAGAAATGAATGACAAATTGCACAAACTAGTGTTGTTTGGATACAGATAACATTATGCTTAAATAAAACGGCCAATTTACTGATTTGCCACCTTTTAATGAAAAAGGTCATGAAAGGTCCATGTACCACAAACATATTTGAACTAAAAACCATATGTGCTTTTACGTCTATGACAAAGTGAGAATGTTAAACATACATGTACATTCATGTTGAGAAATTCATGTTCAGGATGGTGAAGGTCTGAAGGATGTTTCTTGCAACACAATCAAGATGCATCTATTCAGTGCAAATGGTAAATTCCAGAATTATGACAAAAATACTCTGCAGCAGCGCTAACCTATGCGTTTGACCGGTAATTGCATAATTAAAAAAAAATGTTGACAAATGTGCAAGCATGACTAAGAGCGCTCATGAGGAAATGCTGAAATGGACTTATGCTGAACACTGTCAAACGAACAACTTTGCAGTCCAGCCAATTTTGTCTGCAACCGCTAAACCCAACGGGCCTCTGTCAGCGCATTTACGCATATTTACAAGGGTCTTAAGAAGACTAAACCATTGCTGACCATACTGTGCTGGAATTTTGAGGTCTTGGTCATATTTGGGTTCATTTTTTTCACTGATTTATACATTAATGAATTAAGAGCTGAAATTTTTGTAACACTCAAACGAGAAGGACATGACATCAGTTAACAACTGAACTGCAAAGAATTAAATCTAATTAGCACTTAATCTGGCAAAAAAAGCTTTGAAATTCATTTTATAAACCTCACAGTCACAGTGAGCTATTATGCCCTTTTAAAGATAACAGAGACACATTTACACACCGTCCACACACATGAACAAATGACCAAGGAAAATGTGTCCAGTACCATTCTCGTCCTTCATTTACCTCATTTGTACACAAATACTAAAAGGGAAAAACATGTTGATCACTCATAAATCATACAAACTATAAATACAAGGATATTAGGATTTCTGTTTCTAAGGCCCTTCAATGAAGACAGAATGTTTTTTGCTTTAGTGTTTATAATAGAATACAATGTGGTAGAGAGTGACAGGAGGCCAAAAAAGGAAAACCAGAGAAATTAATAACATTTGTTCTGACATTTCAAACAGTTTACCAGGCGTGTGTAGTGTTCCTATATCAAATACTTTGTTCTTTGGTCAGTTTCTTCTTGATGCTTGCATATATAATCATTTTTTATTTACATGGTTTAAAACCTGTCAAAAATAAATAAAGAATTCAAATTTGGTATGGAAGAAGTCTTTCCCACAAAATAAAAAAGAAAACCAAACTTTCTTCTAAGTCTTCTCCATCTAAGGCAACACTTCTTCATCAAATCTTTTAGGTAGAGCATACCTCATTATTCCCAATAGGTGCATATATAAATACCACATGTGCCCACTAATGCTTGTGAGCTAGAGAACTTGAGTGAGTGGTTATATTTGGAACTGCTCAAATCCCATTCAGAGCCTTTTGTTGTCCTTCCTTCTTTTCAGTGCATTGAGAGGCATCTGGTCAGTGTTAACTGCAGACAGGACCACTGTTGAGGAAGTAAGTAGCCATATCTCCTTTCCCCTTCACTTTCACCAGTCCACGGTACTCCAGCTGGTAGCCCTTACTTTCTAGTACATGGTATAAGTCAGTGGTCACCTATAGGAAATGAAGAAAAACATCAATCATTACACACTGAATTCTAATTAGCCAAAAACTAAAGATGAGGTGTGCAGAACCGAAGAGAAATGCAAAAATAAAGTTCGTTTTCAAATGGCCAATTCAACTGTCTGCCATTGGTTGGATAAACAGATAGCCACACCCCAAACTCAGGCCATTGGTTAAACCTCTGTTGCTATGCCAGGCTGGTCGAGATGCTCAAACAAACAGAGCAATGTTTTTAAACAACCACTGAGTTCGCGTTTACACTTTTCAGGGAAATCAACTAACAAAATTATCGTTAATTCTACACACTTAACTGGAGAAGAAAAGCATTTAGAAATTTCAATTAATTTAAAATTTCTCGTTTCACTTTAAGCATTAACTAAGTAGCTAAAAAGTATATAAAAAAAAAAACCTCTTGCAAGCTGCAATTGCAGTAACATGAAGAGAGAGGGCAGCACCATCTTTATAAATACAATGTTGCACATTCTACAGTTGTAATCGATGTATAGTGTTGCACTTTTGAAGAAGGAAATTAATGGGGGATTCTAAGCTGTGTTTTACCAAAAATAGTCTTGTATAAGCAAGTTTATTATGTTGTGGTTACCTGGATACAATCAGGAACACCTGTGCTGTCCATGCGACTGGCCACATTCACGGTGTTGCCCCATATGTCATACTGAGGCTTTCTGGCTCCAATCACACCAGCAACCACTGGCCCAATGTTCAAACCTGTGGTGAAAATACATTTTTCACTGTCTGCTCTAACAAACTCCCGAGCCTCTGCGTCTGCAAGCCAATTCATAAGCACTGTCTTTGCACTTTCTAAGTTAAATATATCAGGCAAAGTTCACAGTGAAAGTTCCCCTACTTACCTATCTTCATCTGAAAGTTGTTGAATGAGTGTTCGTTGATGTACTTCATCTGTTCTCGTAGCCTCATAGCATAGTCAGCAAGAGCTAGAATGTGTGTGCGGCCCTCTTTGTCGTAAGTCGAGTCGTTCAATCCAGATGCTGCCATGTAAGTACTACCAATAGTTTTGATCTTCTCCAACTGCTTATATTTCTCTTCAGAAATGATCTATTAACAGTGCAGAACATAAGATTTATAAAAGCTAGTTTCTACATAAAGGTGGTCACCCCTTTTGGTGGCGGCCATGTTTTATTTGCTTTGTCTTGGTAACCTCCAAACTGTAAAACACATTTGGTCATGGAGTAAATTAATCATGCATGACGAATACTGTAACTTATAATACTATAACTTATACAGTGGCATTGGTAACCAAAACATTTGCTTTTACATGGAGCATTTGTCTCCACACCAGTAGGTATCGGTATAAAGCCAAAGACTACTGCAAAATCAAATAGTCTTCTGAAATTCTGACATCCCAAAATGATACTTCCATTTCAGAAGCAAGTGACACAACGTTCTTACCTCATCAAAGTCAGCGATGATCTCATTGAGCAGTCTCAGGCACTCCACACCCTCATTGTTGGCCTCCAGTTCAGTGTAAAACTCTGAGAAGTTGCTTATGGAGGCAAACATAACGGCCACACATTCACATGACTGATAGTAGAGCTCATCATTTCGACGTTCTCGCGCGAGGAAGTGGGCAGCCACATCTTTGGGCAGGATGTTGTGAAGGAGACGACGGTTGTAGGCCTGCAGCTCCTCCATCTCCTCTTTCTCGTCAGTGGCCTGGTGAAGAATGACAGCGAATAAGTCATCGACTATGCTGGGATCCTACTGGAAATGTATTTTCGCTAAGTGATCGACTGATTCAAAGACAGACTACACACCTGTAGCTTCCACAGGAAGTCAAGGCGTGCGGTGGACTCGACCTGCTGTGCATGCAGATAGAGAGCCAGTACAAATACAGTGAGGATGACTGGAATCGACACCCTCAGAGACACTTTAGTCACCGTTTCCTGGCTATGTGGGAAAACAACAACACATAAAGATTGGAGTTTGTCAGAGACTGAGCAAAAAATGTGATGAGTAGTATAGTAAAGTTTCTGTGTTGTAGCTAATACTACAGTAATCCTTCTCGTAAATCTCACAACTCTCATATATTTGCATATATACAGTAAATCGTTTTTGAAAAGAGCAGACAAATACACACTACAAGCAAACATTGGAATCTAATTTGTACTCATATTCTAAAGTTCTTTCTGCCTTTGAACCATCTCTCTTACAATCGTAGTACAAAATAAAGCATGACATGAACTCACCAATAATTTGTTTCATTGAAGGAATACCTGCGTAAAAACAGACATATTTCCATTAGTGACCAACATGACCCACTAAAAATATGGGTCATTCACATTAAAAGGTTATGTGTACCACATTTGTGTCCCCACATATACATTATTTCATTTAATATATTTAAACCGGTTGACAGAGTAATTTAAAAGAAATCTGATTTTAAATGCTATTACATTTTATAAGTAACTTCAGTCCAATTTGCATGTGCTCATTCATCACTATTACATTTTAATGGGAAAATTCTACATGAACTTTAAAAGCATTTAACTAAAATGTTAAATAACAATAAAATATCATGCTTTAACTTGATATTGCTTTAACTTTAATAAAATGACTAAAAGATTCAAACAGTGAAAACTGATCATATGCAGTCTTAATTTTTTTTTTTTATATGATTACACATATAGTGGCTGTCAAGATAAACTCTTATGGTGGGGAAAAAAACAAATAATGATTGTGAATAATGTGTTACAACCACTGGCCATTTTAACAGTTCTTAAACCCCAAAAAATGTACAAAATGTAAATGTTTAACTCAAAATCAAAACCAATGCCACAGCAAAAAACACTGCTTCAGAACACACTCCATTATTTAAAGAGTTAAATATTAATATAAATATTAATTCATAAAAAAATTTAAAAGTTTTTTTTCCAAGTAAACTTTTAAAAAAAGAATGAAGAAATAAATTAAAAGCAGTCAGTAGTTCTCTTTTTGTTGTCAATACCGTTTCATTTTATTAGACATATTTTATGAATAAGTAGATATGCAACGGAGTCTGTACTCCGTATTGATGATGCTGTAGTTTTTTTAGTCATTTTAGTATTGACCTAATGTCATTGACTTATAAGATGACTTTTACATATCCACTCTATATGTTTGCAGAGAATAACACTCACATTGCATTGGCGGTGCCCAGCAGGTCGGCGTTGTCTAGCAGCGTGACTAGAGGCCACTCCACTAGCAGCAGAAAGCAGACCTGGATGAAGAGCATGAGGACCAGCTTGCCTATACTGCTGATGTGCAGGAACACTGAGCAGCACAGCAAAGTCAGCAGCACACTGTATGTGAAATACTAGAAGCACAGGAGCAATACCATCATACTGTTACCATGAAAACGGGTCAAATCATAAAAGTTTCAAAATAAATCATTGAGTTTTTACATAAGTTTGCTTAAAAAAAAATTTTTTTTTAATGGTTCTCAGTGAGCAAGAAACTGTAGTGAGCATATATGCACAGTGCAGACATATATGTACAGATGGTCACACACTGACCTCGGGTAAAGGACATGCTGAAGGCTGCCCGAGACAGAAGACGAAGGGGTCCTCTACTAGTCCAGTCAGATTATACAGCAGACACAGCGTGACCGAATCAGAAATATTCAACTGTCCAGCCACACATTTTAGCAGATCCTCCCGGTCACAGGTAAACTGACAAAGAAATGACAAAAAATGTAGAAGTGCATAACAATAGAAAAGGTGCACATTATGTGTTTACTTCAAGGGATCATGAACAGTAAGAACTTGGTCCTTTGTTCACTTAATTTTACCGTGGATTCGTTTACAAACAAGGCACAATTCGATGCAAGTTTTTTTTTTTTTTAGAAAGATTGAAACTAAAAGACACTGATGTACCGACTATATTGGATCTGGCAGTAATGTCGCAACATACAAAGATCCAGGGGGCGGGGTAGGATCCAAATCTAGGGGGTGGAGATGGGTGGGTTTAGAGATCAGGGGGTGGAGATGGGTAGGTTTAGGGGTGGGGATGGGATGGGTGGGTTTAGGGATCAGGGGGTGGAGACAGATAGGTTTAGGTATATGTAAGGTGGGAGGAGTTGGATCTGGATCCAACCTCGCCCCCTGGATCTTGTGTTCTGCAGTGAGGACCATCTCTAAATCACAGCAGTGTCCATCTGTTACGGATGTAGGCTGTAAAATATATAAAACTGTTAGCCAATCATAGCAGTGGGCGTTTACTTCCGAGTCTACAATACGCCATGCCTATTTAAACAGAGCCTTCTGAGGAGGAGGTTAAAAACAGGACAGAAAATGGCTTATTACTTCCAAATGATGATGTTTTTTATGTAAAAAAATCTTGATAACATTATAAGTGGACCTCAGAGAACAGTACAAAATAAAAAACAAAGGCAGGTCATGACCCCTTTAAACATTAAATTAAAAACAAGGGTTTCCAGCAAGGAATCAGGGGAAAAGACATCCATTAAATGTATTTTCATTTTATGCTAATTTAATTTGAGTCAATTGAGCATTTAATCATTTTTAAACTTTTAATAATCCTACAAATATTTATGTAGGATATTATTTTTTTCTTGTATTATTTTTTAAATACATTCTGCATTACAGAGGTATATATATATATATATATATATATATATATATATATATATATATATATATATAAAATTTTTTTTATTAATTCTTTTTCTGTACTCCGTATTGATGATGCTGTAGTTTTTTTAGTCATTTTAGTATTGACCTAATGTCATTGACTTATAAGATGACTTTTACATATCCACTCTATATGTTTGCAGAGAATAACACTCACATTGCATTGGCGGTGCCCAGCAGGTCGGCGTTGTCTAGCAGCGTGACTAGAGGCCACTCCACTAGCAGCAGAAAGCAGACCTGGATGAAGAGCATGAGGACCAGCTTGCCTATACTGCTGATGTGCAGGAACACTGAGCAGCACAGCAAAGTCAGCAGCACACTGTATGTGAAATACTAGAAGCACAGGAGCAATACCATCATACTGTTACCATGAAAACGGGTCAAATCATAAAAGTTTCAAAATAAATCATTGAGTTTTTACATAAGTTTGCTTAAAAAAAAATTTTTTTTTAATGGTTCTCAGTGAGCAAGAAACTGTAGTGAGCATATATGCACAGTGCAGACATATATGTACAGATGGTCACACACTGACCTCGGGTAAAGGACATGCTGAAGGCTGCCCGAGACAGAAGACGAAGGGGTCCTCTACTAGTCCAGTCAGATTATACAGCAGACACAGCGTGACCGAATCAGAAATATTCAACTGTCCAGCCACACATTTTAGCAGATCCTCCCGGTCACAGGTAAACTGACAAAGAAATGACAAAAAATTTAGAAGTGCATAACAATAGAAAAGGTGCACATTATGTGTTTACTTCAAGGGATCATGAACAGTAAGAACTTGGTCCTTTGTTCACTTAATTTTACCGTGGATTCGTTTACAAACAAGGCACAATTCGATGCAAGTTTTTTTTTTTTTTAGAAAGATTGAAACTAAAAGACACTGATGTACCGACTATATTGGATCTGGCAGTAATGTCGCAACATACAAAGATCCAGGGGGCGGGGTAGGATCCAAATCTAGGGGGTGGAGATGGGTGGGTTTAGAGATCAGGGGGTGGAGATGGGTAGGTTTAGGGGTGGGGATGGGATGGGTGGGTTTAGGGATCAGGGGGTGGAGACAGATAGGTTTAGGTATATGTAAGGTGGGAGGAGTTGGATCTGGATCCAACCTCGCCCCCTGGATCTTGTGTTCTGCAGTGAGGACCATCTCTAAATCACAGCAGTGTCCATCTGTTACGGATGTAGGCTGTAAAATATATAAAACTGTTAGCCAATCATAGCAGTGGGCGTTTACTTCCGAGTCTACAATACGCCATGCCTATTTAAACAGAGCCTTCTGAGGAGGAGGTTAAAAACAGGACAGAAAATGGCTTATTACTTCCAAATGATGATGTTTTTTATGTAAAAAAATCTTGATAACATTATAAGTGGACCTCAGAGAACAGTACAAAATAAAAAACAAAGGCAGGTCATGACCCCTTTAAACATTAAATTAAAAACAAGGGTTTCCAGCAAGGAATCAGGGGAAAAGACATCCATTAAATGTATTTTCATTTTATGCTAATTTAATTTGAGTCAATTGAGCATTTAATCATTTTTAAACTTTTAATAATCCTACAAATATTTATGTAGGATATTATTTTTTTCTTGTATTATTTTTTAAATACATTCTGCATTACAGAGGTATATATATATATATATATATATATATATATATATATATAATACATTTTATGTTGGCTCTATTCTAAAGCGACTCACAGATTGTGAAAACAGCCTGTGAAATGTAACCCGTAAGCCCCTTCAGAGCCAGAGAGAATGGATTTGTGTCCTAATAAAAGCAGAACTCACTTATCTTTGCTGGAGGCTTCATCTATGCCCTGAAAACAGACAAGTAGATTAGTTACAGTGGGCAGTAAAACACTGTGGAAGTAGAAAAACACATTCTGGGTTTCATCTCAGACAGCTCAGAAGCCAACCCCGCAGAGCCACTGCTGCTTTAATTAACACTCGGAGCCTTCAAATTACATTCAGACCGAGAGAGTGAGAACTTGACAGAGACAAGGAATGGATCTTACACTGCAAATAATCATGTTCTTGTTTTCCAGAAAAATAACTAAACATTCTAAAAACAAGATAAATTTACTTGAAAACAATCTGTCAAATCTTGAAATCTGTCAAATAATATAACATACTGTTAAGTTTATAGTTATGTTTAATTAACAGTATATTTGCATACATAGTATTTAAAAGAATATATTGAAATAAGTTTTAATTTTGTTACGTTTCCTTACCCCATTGACACATTTTTTCATATGAACCTCATTAATTCAAAACAAAATGTTGCATTAATAATTTTAAGGATGTTTATGTATTTTTTACACAAAAATGTTGAACTATATAACTATATAAATTTATATAAATTTACTTGCAAGGCAAAACTAAGGTAATACATTTATTTTAGTTAATAGTATACTTTCAATATATTATATATAAATTCACAAGTAATCCACACTACTCCAGTCCGTCTTGTGAAGTGAAAAGGTGTGTGTTTGTAAGAAACAAGACATTTTAACCTTAAATTATCTCTTCTGGCCAAAATACGAGCACCTAATCCACAATAACGCTTCCTCCAGTGAAAAAGTCCTTCAAAATCCACCAACATAGGTGTTTAGAAATATTTTAAACTGTTTTTGCTTGTAAACGGTGCTTAATCTGTGAATATTTCCCTTCTGATTCAGATGATGAAGATGACTATTTTCACTGGAGAAAGCAATATTATGGATAGAGGACTCTAATTTTAGTGAAAGTGAAGGTTTAAAGTTAAAAACGTCTTAATGATGGATTTGTTTATTATAAACACTCAAGCTTTTCACTTCACAAGATATTAACTGATGGAATGAAGTCGCGTGGATTATTATAATGCTTTTATCAACTGTTTGGTCTCTCATTCTGACGGCACCCATTCACTAGAGGATCCATTGTTGAGGAAGTGATGAAATGCTACAAATCTCAAAATACAAATGCATCAACATCTTGGAAGGCCTGAGGGTGAACACATTTTCAGCCAATTTTCATGTTTGGGTGAACTACTCCTTTAACACAAATCTCCACATCTTTTACAGCCAACTTTGAATAGAAAACTTATTACTGATCACATTTTTGATGGGTGGTGTTCACTTTTACCCTGCTTGACCTCCCGCCTCCATCTGGTTGGCCAGTGTGACATCGTTGGACCAGACATCAAACTGCCATTTGCGTAGGCCGAGCACCCCGCAGTGCACACGGCCGCTATGTATTCCCACGCGCATGTTCACGTTCACTCCTGTGACCTCTCGCACCAATCTGCACATGTAGCAACACGCATGCGTTTTAATTGAAAAATGTGTTGATGAGGAAGAGAGATCGATATAGAAAATGATGTGAAGAACAACGTACGAGATGGCCTCAATCATGTCCACTCCCATCTCCACACAGCAGTGCGCATGATCTGCCCTTGCCTCCGGAAGTCCAGACACACAGTAATAACAGTCTCCCAGGATCTTGATCCGCAGACAGTGGTTTTCCTAAGAATTCAGACATAACAGCACATTTATGCAACTGTTATTGCAGAAATCCTCCCTAATAGGATGTGATGATGTTAGCATCCTTGTGGGTGGCTGCCAGGGCTGGCTATATGCTTGTTAAAAGTGTTTGGAGGTTTTTATTAACATATCGACTGTTTCTTGAGAATTGTTTTTTAATTTATCAAGTATATATTACGTATTTGGTAACACTTTATTTTAAGGTGTCCATGTTACACGTTACATGTACTTCCTATTATAATAACAATAAATTATGCATAATTACATGCAAGTAAGCCTAAGCCAAACCCTAACCATATAGTAGGTACATGTAGTTAATTAATATTACTCAGTACTTAAATGTATAATTACACTGTAACAAGGACACCTTAAAATAAAGTGTAACCACATATTTAATTGTGCATGTTCATTGCCTATTTTTTTTACATAGATTATATTTGCTGTCATCTCACACTCACATAAAGTTGATCTTTAAAAACACTAATAAATAAGTAATAACTGTAATAAATGTAAACTGCAAATGTCAAAATAGTTATCCATACTTCACATGTTATGATGCCTAAATTCACTTCTAGCATTCAAAACAACTGATTTTTAATTTGCTTTATTTTAATTTTTTAAAACAAAACTGTATAAACATTAGAAATTTTATTTAGGCAAAAAGGCACATTAATTCATGTATGTTTGTTTGTTTGCTTGTTTTAACGTCATATCAGCAACAATGGCTATATTCATGGCAACATTAACATTTACAATAACGTAACATTTTCTTAAGTAACATAACGTAACAAACAATCACTATGCAAAAACATACAAGTAACAACAATAGTACTGATAAAAATTATATAGAGTCTTTCAAATTAATAAAGGATAAACAATTCTAAAAAAAATTCTGAGAAAGACCTTTTTAAAAATCTTTTAATATATTTCCTGAGTCAAAACTTAATAGAATATCCTAATTTAAATGATATAGGACTAAGATATGTTTTACACTAAAACAATTCTTACAAGTCACAAACTGGTTTCTTGTCGCCTTTCAATTAATATGAATGAGTGAGTCTTGAATGTCCAATTTGACATCTTGTATAAACAAGCTGGTCATATCTATTTTCAAAACAGTAATTACTTCTTACTACTGGATTCACCTCATAGTTTTTGTATATGCATTCATTCTATTCCAATTTAGGCAAAATGGCAGAAATAGTATACATTTTATTATTAGCAATTTTAAACGTTACTTGCCATCAAAAAATAATTATTAGCTTGTTAATACTGACCACAGAACATGGCACATTCTTAGTTGTTACACTGTAAAAATTACACTTGAATTTTTTCCAAGTAAAACAAATTTTTTTTAAACAATATTAATTATATTATAATAATTTAACTGGTTTTTAACTTGTTTATACTTGAAGTGAAAATATTGTTTTATATATATATATATATATATAGATAGATAGATATACACGCACACATACACAAAATTATATATGAATATAGCTTCCTATCTATTGATACTACTACTATCAGTTGAACTCATTAACATAAAAGTAGTTTTTTTTTTTTTTTTTTAAATAGTAACACTAAAAATGAATTCATATTGTCCACTTACCCAAGCCAATTTATCAAAGCGAGCAAAAAGCTCATTAAGGGTCATCACAAGCTCCTGAGCCGTGCACTGAGATGCCAAACTGGTGAAGCCCTCGATGTCCGCAAACAGGATACTGTTGCGTGAACAGACAGAAGACAGACAGACAGAGAAAATGAGATCAATAATCACCAAGCACCTTGTCTGGGTCACTGAAGTTGGTTTGATGGGCTAACCGAGAAAAAAACATTGATTCAGTTCACTTTCTGAATAGAGGGTGGCCACTCTCAATACTTCAGTCTATCCTTCAATTAGAAAAAGCAGGACGCGGTTGGTGTCCTTAAAGGCCTCCTAGCCATGAGGAGGATAGATGGTCATTAACAAAAAATTTAAGACATGACAGAATGGACACACGGTACGGCCGCATTATCGTGCGACAACAGATGGCACTGCTGCCAACATTTGGAAAGCAGGATCCCTACACAGTCTGTGACATTTAGCATTTTTATACATCCAAGTTTTCCTAGCACAGATGCTTCGAGCTGGCTGGGATTATGCAGGACAACGTGTTGTATTCCACACGCTACAAACTTGTACCTGCATTACTAAAGTGGCTTGATGTCATTTCACGCAGCTTTCTGTTAATTGATTGTGTAACTTCTGGTACATCATAACAAGCAGCCATAACCCAACTTGACCCTCAGAGAGAAAAAAAAGACAGAAAAGTCATGTCTCAAGGACTAGCGAGTACGCTAATCTGCGTTTAAGTATTCAACATCGCTTCAGCCTTGGGAAAGATAACCTTTTAAGCGGTATCAGTGTTTAATGTGTCTGTGTTTTATCCAGACTTGTCGCCTGCTTCAATCACGTGGGGACTGAATGTTATAACACTGCTGGTTCTCATACTGGAGGTGTGAGGACAACATTGGCAACCGTATCTGTATGACACCATGCGCTGGTCTTGGCATTTGTGTACCTGACGTTGTCGTGCTTCTGGATGTAGATCTTGTGGAACATCATATCCTCTTTCTTAGCGTTGATGTCTGCCTTCATCTCCATGGCAACGTGCCTTGGCAACACAGAGAGCAGCAGGCGCTCCTGGATCAGGTTTGAGATGACACCAGTGAGCATGTGTATATGTACAGTGGGGAAAAAAAGTATTTAGTCAGCCACCAATTGTGCAAGTTCTCCCACTTAAAAAGATGAGAGAGGCCTGTAATTTTCATCATAGGTATACCTCAACTATGAGAGACAAAATGAGAAAAAAAATCCAGAAAATCACATTGTAGGATTTTTAAAGAATGTATTTGCAAATTATGGTGGAAAATAAGTATTTGGTCAGTAACAAAATTTCATCTCAATACTTTGTTATATACCCTTTGTTGGCAATGACAGAGGTCAAACGTTTTCTGTAAGTCTTCACAAGGTTTTCACACACTGTTGCTGGTATTTTGGCCCATTCCTCCATGCAGATCTCCTCTAGAGCAGTAATGTTTTGGGGCTGTCGCTGGGCAACACGGATTTTCAACTCCCTCCAAAGATTTTCTATGGGGTTGAGATCTGGAGACTGGCTAGGCCACTACAGGACCTTGAAATGCTTCTTACGAAGCCACTGGCTGACTAAATACTTTTTTGCCCCACTGTATATGTGGACAGTTGACATAACTTTTGGATTTTTTTGATGAACTTTCAAGATTTTATGGGATAAAATACACAAACACATAGCTATACACAACACATATGTACACACACATACACATTTATCTATCTATATATATATCTATATATATATATGAAAATGTGTGTATATAAAAAGTTTTTATTTTTATGATAAAATGTATTTGTATATATAGATTAGATTGTTTTTATACTTGTATATAAATGTCATTTATCAGTGGTTTCTAATTTGTATTTATACAGTATTGTGTATGTATGCGTGTATATATATATATATATATATGTATACACTGTATGTACACATATATGCATGTATATATATATATATATGTGTGTGTGTGTGTGTACAAGTAACAGTTTAATTAAACAAGAAATTTTGAAGTAGAAACGCTGTAATAGTATTTTAGTGTACCATTTTTTTTATTTTCATATATATATATATACATACATACATAGTGGGTACGGAAAGTATTCAGACCCCCTTAAACTTTTCGCTAAATTTTACAATCGCTGGACACTTGATAAGGACTATTATAATCATTTTATAGAGATATAGATAATTACAATGAACAATATCTAGCCAATGCAATATTTCACACTAGAAAAATGTATATTAAATGTCAAATATCTATATACAAATATATATATTTGAAAACAAATCTAGAAAATTTACATTTTCCAAAAACTGTTTTTATAGTTATACTACTATTATTAACTTGACACAATGTTTTAAAGCTTTGTGTATGGCTGAAGCAGTGGTGCTTTAAAGGATGAATTTAAAGTTGCAACTTTTCTCACAAGGTTTTACAGTCTCACAAGGTTTTACTAAGAGCTAAAGCACAGCATGTTATCAGCATGCATCATGCACATTCACGAGGTAAACAAGTGTCGGGCGGGTAGGTGTGTTTGTTTACTCGAGCGCTTGCCAACCTGCTGCTGGTTCTCTCTCTGAAGATGTATTCTGGCTTGGATGTATCCTCTGGTCTCCTTGAAGGCCTGTCTCTGAGACACCTCTGCTGGGTAGTGCGTGCAGATGCCAATGATGTTGGTGCACAGGAAAATCATCGCATTGGCACATAACTGCACAGAGAAAAAGAGAAGAGGAATAAAATTAGGAATTTTGGATTTGAGAAAAAGTTAGACTATTTTTGTTTGCAATCCAAGGTCGAGATCACCACGGGTCTCACTTTGCTTTAAAGGTGGGCGCAGACACGATTTTTGAGCTGAATTTTGGACGAAATTTATAGACTTGGATCATGATTATTATCCAGGCCATTTTAGTTAAATTAAAGTTGTACCTTCATAACACACATGGTTTACTGACTGGCATATTAATTGACTATGGTCTGGAGAAATCTAAATAAATATTTTTTAAATAAATGGAATAAAAAAAATGTAATAGTACAATATAAAATATTTTAATATTTAACAACATTTTAATATTTTTTTATATTTCTTTTAAATATTTAAGAATATTTTTAGATTTCGATGGGACTTGATTTTTGTGTATGTTAAACACACACACACACACACACACACACACACACAATATATCAATTATGTATAAACACATATTGATGATGTATAAACATGCCTATGCTCTGCACATCTGTTTGGGGGGAAAAAGACAGACTCAGTCAGCCAATAGTAAATCTTTTCCAGTTCAGAGGGAAACCAAGAAAGACTGATGTTTTTCTAATTTAACCATGTCTGGCTACATATCATGAAAATTTTTGGCTTTATTTAATGGCAAAAAGGTAACTTGTGTCCTAAATGTCCTCACTCATTTTCTTCAATCCACTTGATCTATGAGCATCTATCAAGAATAAACACAGGACATACAGACCACAATGAAACAGCCATGAACTTCACAGAGTTGGGGTGAGGTACTGAGGGCTGTCTTACCGTAGTACTTACTGCCTGTATTACAGCATTCAAGCTCAAATCAATCATACAAAATTTCACGGATTTATAAGAGAAGAAATTTGAACTCCTACAGAGTGTGCAAAGATTCTGTATTAAAAAGACATACTGCATGAATCAAGATGCTTCCCGACACTGAAAATAAATGCCTGGAAATCCATATCTCTGAAAAGTGAACAGTGGAAAAAGGTTTTGTCCCGAAGTAAAAGTCAAAACACTTCACTTCAGGTCTTTTATCTCTACATCAGTACAAGCATCTGGGGATTAGATGGTATGCGGTCAAACCTGTGTTTAAGAGAACTGAAGATGCTTTGCGGTTTTACTGCAAATGGTTTCGGAGAAATGCGTAACAGGTATATTATGGACAGCATTTTTGCACAAGGTAATCTTACAAAAACATATTCAGGTCACATGTCACAACAACTGAAAATAAATTATATTTTGCATAAATAAAGTCAAGCCTATTTTAAGACCATTAAGCACATTTCTCCACCATTTATTAAATTGTAATTCCTGTTGCTTGAGTTCTGCTTCATGTGGACAATGCTCCAGAGATTATGTCATGTCCTGTCTCTTCCTGGTATCCTGATATAGATATTTTATTCGATTTACATGGTCATAACATGAGTTGAAATACTGAATATGACAGTGAACACACAAGGTCAATACGTGATTACCACGTGTAAGAGTATGCTTCTACTATCGACAACCCAAGCAAACAGTCATAATTTTCCATCAGTCAGAAACGGTTTGCCTGAGAGAATTTGTTGAGGCCCATTTCTCTGCAACAAGCGTTTTCTTCTTTGCCGAAGAGGAATGGTCTTTATTTATCCACTTGACAAGAAATGGCACGGCAGAGCTTCAGAAAAACAGCTCCACTCCCTCTTTCAAGTGCCCCTAGAGTGAATGTGCAAACATCTTCAGATTTTAGAGTTCAGGAAGAAAAGCCAGGCCCATCAGGCATCCATTTGCTCAGATGGTTTGCGTAATTTCAGCATTTGCATAAGTTTTCCAAAAGGCAGTTCTATTCAAGCGACTCGCTAACACCAACGGTCCAAACCACCGAGCTGATTAGACATGGAAAATGTGGGGATGTGGCCACAAACACGACAGATTGCTAATTCTCCATGTGTGGCCAGAAAAAGCCTGCAACAGGGTGTGCAGAACTAGGCGAGTAACCTAACTAGTCAACTAGCAAAGTACTACTAGAATATTTGATTCCTCTTAGTTCAATCTGCCACTGAATTCCTCACCTAAACTGACGTTACAACAAAATGCATTGGGTGATTCTGTGGATGTGTCATAAGCTTTCAGCTTTCACGTTTAGCAATATTTCGATTCATAAAGTATATCAGATTCTCTGGCAGACTGCATTTTCTCCACAGCAGGGCCTGTTGTAGATGTCATCACTTGATTTTCTGGATAAGAACATGTGAAATTACAAAAATGATATGGTCTTTAGACACAACAGTTGCATGTGTGGATTATCCTAATGGTGGCAGTTTAATTTTCTAATGGGATTCCATGTAAGCACTTGGTGAGTATTTTAATCTTGTTTTTAATTAAATGCATATTGTTCATTCTTTTAAAAATAACAAAAGAAAAGCATAGGCTGATGTTTTTGAAAATGATGTAGCATTTGAAAATACACAATATACATTCCCTATACACTACCATTTAAAGGTTTAAAAAAAAAAAACTTAACACAAACATTAAAAACAGCCTTTTTAATATATTACATTCTATTTTAATATATTATGAAATGTAATTTACTGCTGTGATGGCAAAACTGAATTTTCAGCATCCATTACTCCAGTTTCCGTTTCACTTGATCATACAGGAATCATTCTAATATGCTGATTTGCTGCTCAAGAAACACTTTATTATTATTATTATTATTAATGCTGACAACAGTTGTGCTGCTTAACATTATGTGGAAACTGTGATACTTTTTTCAGGATTATTTGATGAATAGAACGTTCAAAAGAACAGCATTTTTTGACCAGAAACACCATCAACAGTTAGCAATAGCATACACTGCAACAAGCCCCTGTTTTATTCATGTAACATCCAATATAAAGCAGCCCCCTCAATTCATCTATATCACACTGACTGAGAGTAGATCATATAAGTAAATTTTTAAAAAGCGGTTGACATTTGAGCTGACAGATCTGACAGAACAAATGTCACATGCTTTTACCTCACAGCAAAACTGATTAAATGAGACGGTCAGATCACTCACTGAGCGTGTGTGTGTGTGTGTGGGTGTGTGTGAGACAATGAGCCACACATGGAGCAGTCAGCCACTGTGTTAGACGACTGTGTGTTTAGAAATGTCAGAGAATAAAGACACTGCTGTTTTATTTAATCCTCATAATAAAGCTGACCTGAACTGACAAGGACTGGAAAACGTAGTTTCTAAAAAGTATGGACATAAAGCCAAACTAGACTAAGCCTTTCCAAATCCTTTGTATTTATTACATTAACATGTGAAACCCTTTCTTACACTCAAGTAAGAACTTTTCTGCTTGGGAGTAAGAATTTGTATACAGTACACACAATTTCTGCATTTTTCCCAAAACATACTGCTCATAGTGTTGTTGACACACATTGTATGGAGCAGGGCTGGTGTGGCAAGAGTGAGGGATGATGGGATTTTATTCATAGAAACACTTAGTGCCTTCTTTAACAGGGACTCTTCCTTTCAAAGAGTCCAAACGTTGTCTTGAAAGTTCGGTTTACCACCTTATTTCTGCTTATATAGCACAATTTAGCTGTGCCACAAGGTTAGGAAATGTGAAGGAGATACAGGAAAGTTTGAGAAAAGGAAAGAAATCTAGACTAACAATAGAAATATTTATACTCTGGTGTGTGATCAAGAAAAGCTCTTGCCATCTCCTCTGAATGATGCAGATATATTTCACTGACTATGAAGTTATTACATGTTTCATTACTATGAAATAAAAACAGCATTTAGGATTTAAATGTGCTGTGGGCTCACATGATTCAAGACTAGAGCAGAAATCCATCCAGATGTTGTTGCTGTCTTGGCAACCACAAGTTGAAAACATCAAGTTATATGGGGAGTGGTGTCACTTCCAGACGATTAACTTTGTCAAACATGACTTGTGCTAGGGTGGATTTACTCTCAGTTCACTTTGTCACTTTGCTGGAACAAAGGAAGTAATGAAGAAGGGAAGAAAGAAAAAACAAATAACAAGAAAAAAAATTAAATGGAAGAAAGAGAGAGAGAAAAGGAAGGGGATATTTTTTTTTTATTGTTTTAGTTTAAAGGGCACCTATTATGCAAAATCCACTTTTACATGGTGTTTGGGCATAAATGTGTTAGCAGTGTGTGAACACAACCACCCTACAATCATAAAAATCCACCCACTCAGCGGTTCTACGCTGTCCTCCATTTTCTCCACGTTCGAGCAGCTGTAACGCTAACAATGTCTCGCAAGCAATCCCGTTGCTCTGTGTTTGGGTGTAAGACTGAACATTAGAGTCTTCATTTTCTCCCAACATCTGAGCTGCTGAGGATGCTGTGGATTACTTTCATTTTTCAAGGTAATGCGCCTCAAAATCTACCTAAATACGTGCATCACTCCAGATTCCTTTGTGAATGTCATGTCGTTATAGTGCTTAGCGTTTTAACCATATTTGTGTGCATACATTAAGTATTTTTTAACTGATCAGTGCCACGCTTGTGAGATTCGTTCGGTAGTGCGGCTCGGTCAATTGATCGGCGCCGATGTCAGATCAGCGCAACATTGCACTGTTTCGTCCCACTTTCAGTGCATTTGGCTTCCCATATGTACGGCTAAACACCGGTTCTCTCGCTCTTAGTTATGTTGCTTCTACCGGCGGTTTATTGCTGTAGGTATGCAATGCAGAGAGATGTATACGCTACACCCTCTTCTGGAGACGGGGCGGGAATATGCAGCTCATTTGCATTTAAAGCGATACACTCAAAAAACAGCTCTTTTTTAGACACACCCCAAAAATGACATCTTCCAGCTGTTATAATAAATGATCTGTTGGGTATTTTGAGCTGAAACTTCACAGACACATTCTGGGGACACCCAAGACCAATATTACATCTTGTAAAAAGGGGCATAATAGGTGCCCTTTAAAATAATAAATTCGTTTTTTAA